GAGCCCCGCGGCACTGGGCCTCCTGGAGCGCGCCCCACTCGCCCCCGGGTCCTCACCCGCCACCAACAAGGACAGGAACACAAGCACAGCCATGGTTCCGCGGCGGCCGCAGCAACGCTGAGCCAGACGGATCCGGGCCGCGGGAGGGGAGCGGCCGCCGAAGCTTGAGAAAGTGACGCGCTCGTCCCAATTCCCTGCGCCCGCTCTGTCGTTGCCTCCGCTGCCGCCTTTTCCACCAATCGCCAGCTACGCCGCTGCCTGCGGCGGAGACGCAACCGAGAGCCGTCAGGATAGTGGGCGGTGCTTCCTGTAAGTGATGTAAGGCCCCGCCAATGGTAGGCAGCGATTGCGGAACCGGGCAGCACCCCACCCCCACCCCCCTCCAGCCCAGGACCGCGGGTCACGAGATGTAGGGTTGGGCAAGCTGGAGCCAGTGGAGGGATCCGGAGAGCCCCCTGAGGGGGGCTGCCTTCTGAGTGCGGACCCTTTGGCCGATTTTGGGCGACGGTCTCCAAGCGGGGTGTGTGTCATTCCCGGTCGCGTGCCTCCTCCCGCTACGGGAAGCTGCGAGTCTGGTTTGAGTTTCGCTGTGACAATTGCACAGGTGCTGAGCACCTGCTGGGAGGGAGGTAGGCACCTGGGAGAACGCTTACCCTCCAGGTAGAGGTGCCAGATGAAATAAAATACAAGGAGCCCAGTTAAATTTGAATTTCACATAAACAGTAATTTTAGTGTATGTCGCAAATATTTCATGGGACATGCTTGTATTTAAAAAATTATTTGTTTATCTGAAATTAAAATATAACTGGGCAGTCTCTATTTTTATTTGCTAACTTTGGCAACACTACCTTCAAAAACTTTCCGATCTACCAGAAGTGTTGTGAAGAACATTAATTAATTACTTCATTAATTAATTCATTCACTCAGTTTATAACCTGGGCAAGTTGTTGTGTGAGCGTATGTGAGGGCTAAAAAAAAAACCAAACCCGTTGCCTGGAGTTGATTCAGACTCATAGCGTCCCTATGATGTGAGGGCTAGACATACTAATTAGAGGGCAGTTATAGTTCAGTGGTAGAATTCCCCCCTTCCATGCAGGAGCTGGTTCGGACTCCTACCTCAAGTGCAGCCACCATCTGTCAGTGGAGGCTTGTGTGTTGCTGTGATGCTGAGCAGGTCTCATTGGAGCTTCCAGACTCAGATTAGGAGGAAAGGCCTGGTGATCTACTTCCAAAAAATCAGTCCACGAAAACCCTGTGGATCACCATGGTCTGATTCAGTTGTGTATAGGGTTGTCCGGGACTGACTCAATGGCAGCTAACAACAACAGACATAGCATAGTAGACCATATCATTGTTTGATTCAAAATAGCCAATACCAGTCCATTTCAGCTCACTAATGTCTAGGATATTGATCTTTAAGCAGTCCATTACATTTTTGACAACTTCCAATTTTCCTAAATTCATACTTTGTACATTCCATGTTCTGATTATTAATGGATGTTTGCAGCTGTTTCTCCTCATTTTGAGTCACACCACAACAGCAAATGAAGGTCCTGAAAGCTTTACTGCATCCACGTCATTAAGATCGACTCTGCTTTGAGGAGGCAGATTTTCCCCAGTTGTGTTTTGAGTGCCTTCCAACTTGAGGGACTCATCTTCCAGCACTTTATCAGACAATGTTCTTCTGCTATTCATAAGGTTTTCACTGGCCAATTATTTTAAGAATTAGACTGCCAGGTCCTCCTTCCTAGTCTGTCTTAGTCTGGAAGTTCCGCTGAAACATGTCCACCCTGCTGGTATTTAAAATACTGGTGGCATAGCTTCCAGCATCACAGCAACACACAAGCCACCACAGTGTGACAAACTGACAGGCGCGTGGTGTGGTGGTTGAAGCATTTAGAGGTGGATATGTGTGTGGCACAACAATATTTGAAGTAATGACCCACGTGTTATCCTGGAAGATGCGTTCCCCCTCTCACCACACCAAGTAGCCAAATAGCCAAGACCCCAGCTATATTGATTGTCCTGAGGGGAGGACGCTCAGAGGAGAACCATCAAACAAAGGTGTCAAATTCTTGGCTCTGGAGTTTCAAAAGCAGAGGTCCAGATATAAGACAGAAAAGATTTGAAAGAATACATAACGCAATTCACTTCCCTATAGGGGATGAGGATGTGTCTGGAAAGAGATATACAGAAGGATTTGGGGGTTCTGGTCATTTCTTAGGAGCCCTGGTGGCACAGTGGTTAAGAGCTACGGCTGCTAACCAAAAGGTCGGCAGTTTGAATCCACCAGCTACTCCTTGGAAACCCTGTGGGGCAGGTCTGCTCTGCCCTATAGGGTCACTATGAGTCAGAATCAACTTGATGGCAATGGGTTTGGGTTTTTTTTTTTGTTTTTTTTTTTTGGGGGGGGGGGTTGGTCATTTCTTAAGCCGCAATAGGAGCCCTGGTGGTCCAATGGTTAAACTCTTGGCTGCTAACAGAAAGGTTGGAGGTTCGAGCCCACCCAGTAGCTCTGCAGGAGAAAGACCTAGTGATATGCTTCCGTAAAGATTACACCCTAAGAAACCCTGTGGGGCAGTTCTACTCTGTCACATGGGGTCACTGTGAGTCAGATTCGACTCAAGATATCTAACAACAACAAGTCATTTCTTGGAGTACCTGGGTGGTGTAAACGGTTAACGTGCTCGGCTGCTAATTGAAAGGTTGGAGACTTGAGTCTACCCAGAGGTACCTTGGAAGAAAGGCATGAAAATCTACTTCTGAGAAATCAGCCATTGAAAGCCCAATGGAGCACAGTTCTACTCTGACACACATGGAGTCGCCATGAGTCGGAATCAACTCGACAGCAACTGGTGGTTTGTTTTTTTTTTCAGTTATTTCTTAGCCTAGATTGTGGTTGTTATACAGTGTTCATTTTATAATTATTCATATTCTGAACATTTATGTTGTATGTTCATTTTTATGTGCTGTATTTTACTATAAAAAGGTTTTAAAAATCTGGTTTGCTTTTTTGAATCTTGAGAAGGCAAATCTCCCTTTCACTTGGTAGGAATTATTTGTATGTGTTTGGGGAATCTTGGATTTACAAAATATGTCTTCAGTGACGGTGGATGTTTCTAAAGAAAGGCCAGTGTTGTGGTTGGCATGTTAGTGGCAGTCTTCCAAGAGATCTTAGAGATGATATCTACCATGGGAGTTCACCACAGGGCAGAATCCAGTCCTCAGACTTCCAGCTGAAGAACCTCAGTTCTGAAAATGTCCCAGAGTTAATCTAATTGGGTGATAGACTCAAAATAGTAAGCTCTTAATATTTTAATAATTATATTAATAATTTAATATTGAGAATAGAAAAAAAATACATTGCCATCGAGTCGATTTCTATTCATGGTGACTCCATGTGCTACAGAGTAGAACTGCTTCATAGAGTTTTTTTTTAATTGTGGTGAAAATATACACACCAAAACATTCATCAACACAACAACTTCCACATTTACAATTCAATGACATTGATTACATTTTCATGTTGTACACCATTATCACTATCCTTTTCCAAAGTATTCCACTGCCATTAACATAAACTTAATACCCCCCAAACAAAAACTCTCCCTACCGCCTTCCCTCTCTCCCCTGGTAACCATTAACAATCTTTGGTTTCTATATATTAACTTATTTCATGTGAGATCGTATAGTATTTGTCCTTTTGCAACTGACTTATTTCACTCAGCATGTTTTCAAGCTTCATCCATGTTGTGGCATGCATTAGAACTTTATTTCTCTTTACAACTGCATAATATTCCATTGTATGTATATACCACATTATGTTTATTCATTCGTCTGTTGATGGACATTTTGGTTATTTCCACCTTTTGGCTACTGTGAAAAATGCTGCAGTGAACATTGGTGTATCCATAGGATTTTCTTGGCTGTAATTTTTATGGAAGCGGATTGCTAGGCCTTTCTTCCATGGTGCCACTGGGTGGGTTCACACTGCCAACTTTTTGGTTGGTAGCCAAGCACAAACTGTTTGCACCACACAGGGACATATATTTAGCAGTTTATTGATTTACAATAGAGGGTCAGTGAAAAAGAGGAAGACCCTCAAGGAGATGGATTGACACAGTGGCTGCAACAATGGGCTCAAGCATAGCAACGATTTTGATGGTGAAGGACAGGGCAGTGTTTTGTTCTGTTGTATATAGGGTCGCTATGAGTCGGAACTGACTGGACAGCACCTAACAACAACATTAGTGTTGTAAGCCAATCTCTTTTGAGATATAAAAGAAAGAAGCAGGCAGAGACACATGGGAACCTCATACTACCAAGAAAGCAGTGCCGGGAGCAGAGCGTGTCCTTTGGACCTGGGGTTCCTGCATGGAGAAGCTCCTAGTCCAGGGAAGACTGATGAGAAGGACCTTCCTCCAGAGCCGACAGAGAAAGCCTTCCCCTGGAGATGATGCCCTGAATTTGGACTTGTAGCCTACTAGACTGCGAGAGAATAAATTTCTCTTTGTTAAAGCCATCCACTTGTGATATTTCTGTTATAGCAGCACTAGGTAACTAAGACAGTGAGTATACAAGCAAAGCAAATATTTAATGCATTAGGCTCTGTTGTGTCCATCTCCACAGCTGGAATGTAGCTGCCAAGCAGACTTGATGTTTGTGTCAGACTGACAGGGCACTGCAATAAACCACCTTTTGAGAACACTGCATGGATCACCCTTTCTATTCATAAGAACTTCCTACCCCCTTCCATGTCGCCTATGGTCTTGTTTGTACAGTATGAACCCATCTCCCTGGCTGACTGAACCAGGAATGGTCATGTGACTCAGACTGGGACAATCAGCTTCTCTAGTCTAGAATTCTGGGGTTGGGGCCAAGAGATACTAGTGATTCTTTTGTGGCACTTGAAGAGTGAGACCTGAGAATTAACATCTCTTGCCATGTTCTCAGAGAAGCACAGAGCTGGGCTGCAGAAAGAGAAGAGTGAAAGAAAATGTCCAGAGACAAGTAGAGAAGAAAGACCAGGTATGTACTAACTTTCTGCCAGCTTTGCAATTCTTAGTTCTTGTACCTGGAGAGGCTCAACTGCATTCCCTGACTTAGAAACATGTGAGATGCCCCAGAATCCTTATAACTCAGCCTCCTCTTTTGTATCAGCTGGCTTGATTTGGTGTTTGGGGCTTGTGACCAAGAAAGCCTTGACTAAAACCAGTATGCTCTCCTCTGGGCACTGTTCAGGAACCCCTGTTTTTCTCTCTCAATCTCCTTATTCTGTGCTTCTACTGACAACCTTCTGCTTTCTGACTAACATCCTTTTCTTGAGATCTGTCAATACTTTTGATCTAACAACTGTAAAATCATGATGGCTCAAAAGCCATTTGGTGCTTTTGAGGTGACTGTGTGGCTGTTCTCTTACCTAATACATGTTATGTACATAGATCAAGACTTAGAAGGTTTGCCAGAAACTCAGTATCCATTTCCACCCCCTTCTATGGTTCCTTCCATATCTCAAGGGGAAGGCTAAAATATATTATCCAGGCTCTCTTGCAGCTAGGGTTTTCTGGATACAATTTAGATTTTATCAGTGAGATGCACTTGGGTGATATTTTGGAAAGTGAAAGTGAGTGAGACAGGGGCCATTTTCCTGCTACCATGCTACTGGCCAACAGGGTGAGACGTGTGTGCTTGAGGGGGACAGAGTCCATGTCCCAGTGTCTAGTCACCAGCTTCACGGTGAGGCACTAGTGGCAGCTTCCTGATCTCTGGGTTGTAACTAAGGTGGTGTAATTTTGACACCAATAGCCCAGGGAGAATCCCCTGACTTCTGCTCCTCCAGCCCTTCCAATGATTTTGTAAGTACCTTGATTCTCAATATGAAAATCTTTTTGCCTGAAATATTTAGAGTGATTTTGTTCTCTTGATTAAACCCTGACTGAGACAGAGAGCCATCTTATTTCCAAGTTTTAGTGAACACTTTATCTCCTTGAACCACAAGATACTGACTTCAGTGACTTCAGTGATATTTCTTCCAACCCCCTTGAGAAAATCTAAGCAAAAGTACTTGTCATGGTTTGAATTATGTCCCCCCAAAAATGTGTGTATCAATTTGGCTGGGCCATGATTTCCAGAATTGTGTGGTTGGCCTCCATTTTGTGATTGTAATTTTATGTTAAAGAGGATTAGGGTGGGACTGTAATACCACCCTTACCCAGGTCACATCCCTGATCCAATGTAAAGGGAGTTTCCCTAGGGTGTGGCCTGCACCACCTTTTACCTTACAAGAGATAAAAGGAAAGAGAAGCAAGCAGAGAATTGGGGACCTCATACCACCAAGAAAGCAGTGCCAGGAGCAAAGCGTGTCCTTTGGACCCAGGGTCCCTGCGCGGAGAAGCTCCTAGTCCAGGAGAACATTGATGAGAAGGCCGACAGAGAGAAAGCCTTTTCCTGGAGCTGACGCCCTGAATTTGGACTTTGAGCCTACTTTACTCTGAAGAAATAAATTTCTCTTTGTTAAAGCCATCCACTCATGGTATTTCTGTTGTAGCAGCACTGGATGACTAAGACAGTACTTGTCTTCTGAATCCATGATAATAGAAGTCAGAATATTTGTTATCTCTGGGAGTGAGGGAGCTATTGACTAGGAACGGGCACAAGGGAACTTGCTGGGGAGATGGACATGTTCTGGATCTTGCCCTGAATGGTAGTTACATGGGATATATACACTGGTGAAACTTCAACAAGCTGTTCACTTAAGATTTGTGCATTTTACTGTATGTGAATAATAGCTAAACAATTTTTAAAAGTTCTGTATTCTCAGTTTGCACCTGGTAGATGAATGTATTTAAACTAACATGAATAGAAACCATTTTTTGCTAATTTGTTCATTCACTCATTCATTTATCAAATGTTGCATGCTTACAATGTGCTATGTGAACACACACACACACACACACACACAAAACCGTTGGCCATCGAATCAATTCTGACTCATGGTGCCCCCATGATTTACAGAGTAGAACTGAGCTCCACAGGTCTTTGTTGGCTGTAATCTTTACAGAAACAGATTGCCAGGCCTTTCTTCCAGGGACCCGCTGGGTGGGTTCAAACCACCAACCTTTAGGTTAGTAGTCAAGTGTAAACCCCTTGTGCCACCCAGGGGCACCCGGTGGATTCAAACTGCCGACCTTTTGGTTAGCAGCCGAACTCTTAACCACTATGTCACCAGGGTTTCCATGTGAACCCTGGTCCCTGCTAATTTAGAGTGGAACCATGTGGAAATAAGCTGAGAAATTTTATCCCATTTGAAGGGGGAAAGGACTTGATTCATGAACTATGAAATGGAGGGAATCTTCTGATAGTTGAAGGGATCACAGTAAGTTCAATTTCCAGGTAATTGCAAAGGCAAGAACAGGCAAGGCCATGCCTCAGCCACAACTCTTTTCCAGACAGAGTCTCTGGAGCTGACAGGAGCTAGTTGGGATGCTTGAGCACCAAAGCAGACACCTTGGTCCTCTATTTCCCCCCATCAACTCTCCTGTCCTTCTGCATTGAACTTTGAACTTATGCAGCTTTGAACCCATGGACTACTCCTCACTCTTTCTCTTGACCACACCCTTGCTCCCTTTCCTCTCAGTTCTCTTGGAGCTACTGGGCAAAATCCTGATCCTGGAATGTTGCAGCTGCCCACCTTCTCTTCCTATCATGGGCTACTGATGGCTGCTGTGGAAACTCCCCTACCATGGCAACTGACTCTCAGCTGGACCCCCAAACCTGCCTGGCCACCCTTTCCCCTGCCCTAGTCACTGCCTCCTCCCCCCTCCCCCTCCTCCCGCAGCTATTTAAAGCTTCCAGCAACGTCTTCAAGCCTCTACCCCCACCCTTTTCCTCTCTCCCTCTTGGAAGACCACAAGCCCAGCTCCAGCCAGCTGGTGGGCATCCATCCTGCTGACCATAAGGGGAAAGAGTCTAGACTAGAGAGTGTGAATTGGTCATTACCTGCCCATTACCAGCATCAGGAAGCCAACTGTGCTACCTTTCCACTCATCACCTCTGGCAGATACTTCCCGTTCTTATGAATGTGATGATTTATTAATGAAAAATCGCTAGTCTCCAGATAGCCTCCCTCCCCCTCGGGAAGATCACACAGGAACCCTGCAAAGAGCAGCCTGCGAGATGCCTTGCACTGATCCCTCCCCATCATTAGTGAGAGCTGACAGGAGAAGCACCAAACCCTGGTTTTGGATTGTCGTTGCCTTCTTGTGGCGCTTCTGCACACATCTTGAGTTCTGGTGTGCGTTCTGTGTGGGGCTCGGGGCTGGGGAGAGAAAGGTGAATCACACTCAGGCCTGGCCCTCAAGGAGCTCACAGCCTTGTGTTTCTAACTCATTCCCTAGTGTTGGGATTTCTGGTCTGGGGTTTGCTCTCTCCTTTGTCCACCACCCCACTTAGCCTTCCAGTTGGAGTTTGTTTTCTTTTTTTGTTTGTTTGTTTGAATAAACCTTTTATCTTGGAAGGAGTGCCCGAGTGGCTCAAACGGTTAAGCTCTTGGCTACTAACCAAAAAGTTGGAGGTTCAAATTCACCCAGAGACACCTCAGGAGAAAGGCCTGGTGATCTACTTGTGAAAAATCAGCCACTGAAAACTCTGTGGAGCACAGTTCTATTCTGACTCACATGGGATTGCCATGTGTCAGAATTGACTCCACGGCAACTGGTTTTTATTTTAGAATAGTTTCAGCTTTACAGAGAAGTTTCAAAGATAGTACAGACAGAGAGTTCCCATGTACTGTACCCCACGCCCAGTTTTTCCTATTGTTAACGTCTTACATTAGTATGGTACATTTGTCACAACTTATGAGCCAATGTTAATACATAATTATTAACTAAAGTAAAGAGCCCTGGTGGCACAATGGTTAAGCACTCGGCTGCTAACCGAAAGGTCAGCGGTTCGAACGCACTAGCTGCTGTATGGGAGAAAGATGTGGCAGTCCACTTCCATAAAGATTACAGCCTTGGAAACCCTATGGGGCAGTTCTACTCTGTCCTGTAGGATCACTATGAGTTGGAATCAACTCGGCGGCAATGGAGATTAACTAAAGTCCTGGAGCTTTGATTCATTTCCTTCCATCCTCTTCTCCTGAGCTTCCTTGGGGTGAGTATGGGTGCTCTTTGCTTGACAGCCCCACCCCTCCACTCCTTCCTGCCTACAGTTCTTTCTGTCCCCCCTCCACCCCCAGCAATGATAACACCAGCAGGTGGGCCTCAACCCTGGAAGCCCTAGTGACCTGCAGTTCTGACTCAAGACGTGTGCCTGAGCCACCATGAGGTTTGCAGCAAGCATTGCATTCTTCCCACTTGTACTCATGTTAAGTCTAGTTGTATCAAATTCTACCAAACTGGAATGATCCTATACATAGTTAGCTTAATTGGAAATAATTTGGTTGCGAGTAACTCATTCACTCACCTTAGGACCTTAACATCTTAAAGAGGGGGCCTTTACTGGCAGGATATAAAGGCATATAGCAGCAGTGTTGAGTAAACAGCTTCTAAGACCATGAACTCTGTTATTTGACTGCCTGTATGACTGTGGGCAAATTATTTTACTTCTCAGTACATAGTTTTCTCATCTGTAAAATGGGGCTAAGAATAGTGTTTACCTCATAGGTCATATGAGGATTAAGTGAATTAAAACAGTGCTTGGCATAGTGAGCACTCAGTCATCCTTAACTAGAATAATGATGTCAAAGATGATTATAAGAGTATCTCAAGTAAGAACCACAGAGTAGGAAGTACATCAGCAACAGGACAGAAAAATAGGAAAGGAGATTTCTTTCATCCTCTTTTAATAAGGCCATGAGGTCTTCCTCTTTCCTGCCTTTCTTTGGGCATGTCTTAGTTACCTAGTGCTGCTGTAACAGAAATACCAGAAGTGGGTGGCTTCAAAGAACAGAATTTTCTTTTCTCAGGGTGTGGCTCTAGGGGATGTCCTTCTTTGTCTATTTTGGCATCTAGTAGCAATCCCAAGAGTTCCTGGGCTTGTAGGTGCAGCTGCTTCTGTTATTGTCAGATGGCATCTGTCTTCCCCTATTTGTTAGTGCCTCTGTGTCTAATCTGCTCTTTTTAGAACTCAGAAGTGATTAGGTTTAGGACACACCCTACACTGATATGGCCTCATTAACACAGCAAAGAAAACCTTATTCCCAAACAGGATCACATCCACAAGTATAGGGCTTAGGATTCCAACACATATTTTGTGGGGGCGGGACACGATTCAATTTGATTTGTTCTCTCTCCTCCTCAGCGGGCTGGGATACAGGGTGCAAAATGAAGCTTACATGTCTAGTGCCCTCAAGTTAGGAGACACAGCGTCAGTGTATTCCAAATTTCTGGAAGAGAGAAACAGAGAAGCCCGTCCTGGGTCTGGCAGCCTCCAGTGGTCCCGTCAGCTGTTGGTGTGTTTGGGTGTGGGGTGGAGTCAACCAATCTTTAGGACTTCCCTTTCCTGGCTGAGGAAGCAGCAGGTTCTCTCAAAGTGGGGTATATTTATTAGTTACCTATTGCTACACAATAAATCACCCTAAAACTTAGTGGCTTTAATCAACAATAATTGTGTATCTTCACAGAGTTTCTGCGGGCCAGGGGTTTGGGAGCAGCTCAGCTGGGTGGTTCTGGCTTACAGTCTCTCATGCCTATACAGTCAGAGTGGCGTCATCCTGAAGGCTTCTTCACTCACATATCTGGCGCCTGGGCTGGGAAGACTCAAACGGCTGGGGGCTGGAGTTGCTGGGGCTCGTCAGACATCTCTCTCTCTCTCTATGGTCTCTTCACATAGACTCTCCAGCATGGGGGCTTCAGGTAACCAGACTTTTTACATGGCGGCTCAGGCTTCCAAAAGTGTGTGTCCCATGAGAGAGCCATATCACCTTTTATGACCTAGCCTTAGAAAGTCACTCAGCGTCACTTCCTCTGTACTTTATCTGTCAAGGCAGTTATGAAGGTCAGCCCAGATTCAAGGGGAAGGAACATAGACTGCCTCCCACCTGTCAATGGAGGCATGTCAAAGTCACATTGCAAGAAGAGCATGTGGGTTGGGATATTTACTAGTGTGGCTATCTTTAGAAATACTACCTGCCACAGGGAGTTGCATATATGAGGAGAAAATTGTTGTCATATCTAATTTAATAGTATTTTACCCCACAGTATATTGTAAACATTTTCTGACATGATTATTCTTCTGCAACATCATTTTATAAAAAGTGTTAATTTTTAAAATTCGTGTTACCATAGTAATACATACTACTTGTTGAGAAGTGAGACCTTGTTACCACCTCCGGGGGGGCGGGTATCATCACAAGAGGATAGTAACCCACTCCATGGTTTGCAGGTGTCAGGGTCGCCAAGAAAGATGTGACTCCCACACAGGCACTGGATTGAACAACACTTTACTCACATAGAAAAGAAACAGAGCAAGGTAAGCTTCAATAGTGGGCATCAGTCCCCCAAGGCCAGCAGGACAGTCCTCACAGCTGATGCAGTGAGATGGTCTGTATGCAGCCGTCTGGTGCTGCAGAAGGACCCTGTTCCCTCCCTTCAGGGAACTGATAGAGCAGTGGGGTTGGCCAGGTGCCATATAAGGTGCATGCTTAGCTCAGCAGTTCCTAGGAATGTTGACTTGTGCTCAGGGCAAGAGGGGAGGGATGTGCTGATAAGCCACCAGCTGCTATGGGATGTGTTTTGGGTCAAGATGCCTCAAAAAAGGGAGTCAGCCCATACACTCATCTCATCCAAGAGGCCAGGCTGATGCTTCTGGTTCTAAGCACAAGGTTCATTTGTGAGTCACAGGGAAAGGCAGCTGGCTGCACTCAGACTACCCCCTTCCACAATACTCATTGTAAAAAAAATTCAAAAGACAAAAATGCACAAAGAAGAAAGTGGAAGGTTACCCCTTCTCTCCCCTCAATCGTACTCTCTAGGAGTAACAATAATTAGGAGTTCTAGATTTTCTAGATAAATAGGGTCTAGATTTTCCTCTATACCTATTCAATCATATAAAAACCAAACCCATTGCCCTCAAGTCAATTGCGACTCATAGCAACCCTACAGGACGGAGTAGAACTGCCCCCATAAGATTTCCAAGGAGTGGCTGGTGGATTCAAACTGCCAACATTTTGTTTAGCAGCCATAGCTTTAACCACTGCACCACCAGGGCTCCATTCAATCATATGTATGATTTTATTTTGTCTACAAAATGGATCATGTTACATATTCTTGCTCATTTTGCTTTAAAATGTCTCAGCTGTCTTCACATGTCAGGACGTAGAAATGTCTTTTATTCTTTTTCATAGGTACATAGTATTCCATTTATGTGTTGTGATGTCTGTAATTTAAAGTTCAGACAGTATGTTATATATGTGGATGTTCTTTAGTTTAAGCTACAATCCAGGGGCAGTCAGTTTCTCTCTACAGGAATTCACATTCCAGGAGTGGTCAGCTAGTTTTAATCAGAAAAGTCACCCTGCAAGTCTTTGTCTACTTTTATGTCCTTTCAACACCAGATGTTTTGCCACTTAGCATAGTGATTGTTCAAGTTAATCTGCATAATGGATATTAGAAGTGGGCTCTTATTGTTGAATTTAGAAGTATTTGATGTATATGGATTGGCTAAAATAGTTTAGAGATACTTCTAACACTTGGACAAACAGGGTGGTTGGATGGAGACAAGCATGTAGCCTGTGCCCAACGGTACCAAGGCTAGATATCTAATGGGACCTTTATCCAGCCATGAATTAGGAGATTCTGGTTGCCTCATGCCAACTATAAGGCTGATGGAATCCTGCTTCTAGAATACTGTAGCCTTTGCCTCGGATGAACGTTGCATGAAAGGGCAAGGACTGAAAGTTGTACTCCTTTGAGTCCACAGAAGAGATTGTGCGACTGTTGTTGTGCCTGGTTGTTAATACGTATGTGACAGGTTTTGGCCTGAGACTGGCTTTGTTGCAATCTGGTAGCAAGGTGGGGAATATGTTGTTGTTGTTAAGCTGCCATCGAGTCAGCCCCCAATTCATGGCAACCCCATGCACAATGGAACGAAAAGTTGCCCAGTCCTGCTCCATCCCCATGATCAGTTGCAGATTGAACCATTGTGATCCATAGGGTTTTCATTGGCTGATTTTCTGGAAGTAAATCACCGGACTTTTCTCCCTAGTTGGTCTTAGTCTGGAAGCTGTGCTGAAACCTGTTTAGCATCATAGCAACATGCAAGCCTCCACTGCCAGATGAGTGGTGGCTGCACCACCTTTCTGGGACTAATGGTGGCTACCAAAGAGCTTCATACTTGTGCCTGACCAAATTGGCCTATCATAATTTATTTTTCCCAGCCATTTCAGCAGACATTTAAAATGCTTCCAATGTTCTGTCTTTACACAAAATGCTGCAATACCATGCTTTTCACAAAATAAACCTTTTGAATAATTGCATAATATTTCATTGTGTGGATGCACCCTATTTTATTTATCTAATCCCCTATTTTTGTGTCTTAGGTTTTGGAAGAATCTAGATTTGAATCCAGATCTGGGGTCAGTGCCAAGCCCAAGCCTATCCCAAATACATCTAGACAAAGATTTCTGGCATATTGAATGTGGGAGTGAAATTCCCAGGAGCTAATTGAGGATTCCATTCCAGACATCAGTTGACTTTTCACCTGTCTGGGTCAACTTAAAATGATACCTTGCTCTTGTTTGTTGTTGTTGTTAGGTGCTGTTGAGTCAATTGCTATTCATAGCTACCCTACGTGACAGAGTAGAATTTCCTCATAGCGTTTTCTTGGCTGTAATCTTTAAAGAAGCAGATCATCAGGTCTTTCTCCTGCAGAGCCACTGGGTGGTTGTACGGCCAACCTTTTGGTTAGCAGCTGAGTGCTTATTAACCTTGTTATAAGTATGGTCTGAACAAACGCAAGAAATCCTGTTGTTACAAATCTAATGTTTTAACCAGGAAGGTGGAAAGCTCGGATTGTCAGTATATGGAGTTAAATATAACCTTATGCACAGAGCAACATATTTAACATCCTAATTAATAATTCAGAGCATCAAGTGCAGTGTGGAAAGATGTTATGTCTGCACTGCCTGCTTGTGGGAAAATTTGCTACCTTAACTGCACTGCACTCACCTTGTACCCACCAGCCAAAAAGCAAACGAAAGACAATTGCCAAGAAGTGGCAAGCAAATATTAATGACAGAGGGCAGGAATAGTATTATTCTAATTTACCAGTGATAGCCCCACTGAATAGAGTAGGACTTCTTTAAATCCCACCTCCTGAGACAATGGAGATTTTGATGTGGATTTTTGCCTTCATTATAGTGTTTTATAGTCTGTATTCCTAAGAACTGGGTCAGATTTTGCAGTATGTCTGTAATTTATTTTGGAGTGCCTGATACTTACATTACTAAGCAAGCAGTATTTATAATGCCATTCTAACACTGGAGTTTTTAAGTTAGAGGAGGTTTTTTTTTTTTTAATTGAAATTACAATTCACCCCGTACCGTACATTCTATAGAGTTCAATGTAACTTAATTTTTTCCTAAATGAATCCATCTATGATTTCCCCTCCTCCAGATTCAGCCTTTTCTGCCCCACACACTTCTTCTCCCCCACCCCCAGCCAGCCAAAAGTAAATTGTACCTTTTCAGACCCTCCAGAGTATTTTATCATTCTTTATCTTATACAGCCTCTTTTGTTGGAATTTTAATTTATTTCTAAACAAAGAGAACCAATTGCCATCAAATCAACTCTGACTCATGGCAATCCCATGTGTGTCAGAGTAGAACTGTGCACCATAGGGTTTTCAATGGCTGGTTTTTTGGAAGTAGATTGCCAGGCCTTTCTTCTGAGATACCTCTGGGTGGCCTCAAACCTTTAACCTTTCAGTTAGCAGCCTAGTGCGTTAACCATTTACACCAGAGAAGTTGCTAGTTAAAAGCTGTCTGGGTCCTATTTATAAGTTTATTCAGCTCAGCTTTATTTGCAATTGAAAAAGATTGCAAGCAATCTGAAAGTCCACCAATAGACGACTTACAGTTACATAACTTAAAGTACATTCCTACTTTGGATTACTCTGCAGCTGTAATAAGAAAAACAAAGCTCTTTATGGATTGATTGTTAAGATATACAGTTAAGTAAAAAAAAAAAATCAAGGAGCAGAACACTGTATATTGTATGCCACCATTAATGTCAAAGAGGGGACTATATATAGATATGGAGTCCCTGGATGGTGCAAACTTTAAATGCACTTGGCTGTTAACCTAAAGGTTGGAAGTTCGAGTCCACCCAGAGGCACCCTGGAAGAAAGCCCTGGTGATCTACTTTCAAAAACCATATGGAACACAGTTGAAATCCCAATGGATCACAGTTCTACTCTGACACACATGAGGTCGCTATGAGTTGGAATTGACTCAACGGTAACAGTTTTTTATTTTAATATAGATACATACATGTATATTTACTTGTGTATACATAAAATATCTCTAAAGGAAACACAAGGAACAGACAAAATTGATTGCTTTTTGGGAGAGGATCTGGGTGGTTGAGGGCAGGAGTGGGAGGGAGACTTTATATATTCTTTAGTACCTTTTGGATTTTAACCATGAGAATGTATTACCTGTTCAAAAAATAAATGAATAAAATGAAAATTCAATAACCAACAAAAGAAAGACAAAACAAGGACACAGATTGTTTAGGTGCCCTGGTGGCGTGGTAGTTAAGGGCTTGGCTGCTAACCAGAAGGTCAGTGGTTTAATCCACTAGCCGCTCCTTGGAAACCCTATGGGGCAGTTCTACTCTGTCTTATAGGGTCGCTATGAGTCGGAACTGACTTGACGGCAAAGGGTTTGGTTTGGGTTGTCTAGGAGGAGGCAGCAGGTCACCTTGGAGCCGACCTTGGTTCTGAGAGGTCCTTCCATGACCTTTCTTACCTGTGTAAACTTAGGGCCACCAGATAGTCATTGCCTGAGGGAGTGGTACAACTAGACCTTTCTTTGTGGCTGGATAGGGCCTGCCCCTTTCAGTATCCCTTGGCATGCAGGAAATGTCCCAGGGCTGGAGGGCTGGAGGGCTGGAGGGAAATTTGTGTGGGGGTCAAGGAGATTTCTGAACTTAAAGGAAACAGCCTCAGTACTTCACTTTTGAGGACTCTCACTTCTCTGATGGGTTGGGAAGGTCCTGGTGCGGGTCTGTGGGGACATGGGAACCCTTGCAGAAACTCACCAGAAGGAAGAGGCTTGACTAGGCTTACCACCATGGCATAGACTATTGCTGGGGAAGGCAGATTCCGGCCCTAGGTGGGGCTGGCCCTGCAAGACCTCAGGTGTGTTGTGGAAACAAGAGCTGAGTGTTTCAGGAGAAACTTAAGAGCCATGCCCTTGGGATCCCTGTTCATGGTGTCTTATTCCCAGGGCTCCCCAGAAGGAGGAGTAC